AAACCTATATTTTTGGACTTTTTGCTATTAAACATGTCCAGTAAAAATTTAAAAAAATCAAATTTCATCATAAATTTAGGCCAAAATGTATTCTGCCCCATGTCTTTGCTAAAAAAAAAAAAAATCCCAATACGTGTAAATAAATTGGTTTACATAAAAGTTATAGCCTTTCCAAATGGCTGTATAGATACTGGGCATTTTTTTTTCCTACAAGCAATTTCAGCAATCAGTGACTTTTAGTGGGATTGCGGCGTGCATTCTGATACTGGGGTGGAGAACTAACTTGGTGTCACTGACATCCCCAGTGACACCAATACAGTGATCAGTGCTAAAAAAAACAGCAATGACACTGTACTAATGACACTGTACAGGAAGGGGTTAATGTGGGGGGGGGCGATCAAAAGGTTAACTGTGTATAGGGAGTGTTTTACTATGAGGCGGGCGGGGGGGGGGGTGCTTCACTGTAAGCACACTGATCGAGATGGCTGTGCTCTGCAGTGTTCCCAAGCTGACAGGGAGGAAGACTGTAAACAAAACAGTCTTCCTCCCCGTTGGTGATTGTCGGTAATGACCGGGCGGCAGGCGGTGGGTAATCACCAGCCGGGACCCGGTGGTTGATATCCGAGGCCACGAATGGTGGCGTAGGTAGGGCGTGCGCGCGCACCCCTACCCGGAAATGCAAAATCACATATATATATATATATATATATATATATATATATATATATATATATATATGCATTTTTTGCGCACCCGTGCTGCAGTGTAAAAGTATATCTGCTACATGGCGGTGAGTAAGTGGTTATGTTAAAAACAGAGGGTTCTGTTTGCACACATTTGCAAATATATGTGTAAGCCACAGTGCCCACACCAAGGGAACTCTGTACAGGGGCGGACTGACAACTCATGGGGCCCCCGGGCAATATAGGGGATCATGGGGCCCCTGTGTCCTTGCTCAAACTCAAAAAAGCCTACGAAAAAGGTACCAGGAGCATGTCATGGGGCCTCCTACTGACCTCGGGCAATGCTTGAGTTTCCAAATGGTCAGTCCATCCCTGCTCTGTAATAACTGAGGTGTGAAGCAGGGGAGGACTGACCATTGGGAAACTCGGGCACTGCCCAAGGTTCGGGGGTCAGTAGGGGGCCCCATGAGATGCCCCTGGTACCTTTTTCATAGGCTTTTTTGAGTTTGGGCAAGGACACAGGGGCCCCATGATCCCCTATTGCCCGGGGGCCCCATGAGTTGTCAGTCTGCCCCTGGTCTGAAGTCTAAATTTCCAGAGCCCCATAACAGGAGCCCATGTAAGAATGGATAAATTGGGGGCCGGAATCGTTTGAGGGAGCACACCCCTTCTTGCAGGCACAGGGACGCACATGACACCCAGCAAGAGCACAATGGCAGCAAAAATTTCGAGTCTTGCACCCAATTCATCCTACTGTGCAAAAAACTGGCAACCACCCCAACTCATAACTGGCCTTTGCAACAAAGAGCACGTGGAAGGGAAATGCACATCACAAAAAGATTTTGCTAACCACTTACCAGCAGCGTGTAAAATGTCACTTTTTGGTTCTGGCTTCAACTGCCCCCAGACAGGATTGGATGATGTTAGCTGGAGATGAACAAACTTCAGCCAATCCATAAAAGAAGAGGTATCCAGCCAATTGTCCCCCTTTGTAATGTACAGCGCTGAGCGAACTATTGGCGCTTTATAAATACTGTATAATAATAATAATGAGGTGCCTTGCAAACTGTGCTGTGCGCAACATCACTTCCTCCCAGTCTCCACACAGAACTAACGTTGGCAAAGATTAGCGCCATGTGGAGTTTTATTTTGAAGCTTTTTTTTTGGGGGGGGGGGTGGATGGGACCACTAGCTGGTCTTGCCTAGGGCGCAAAATAGTCTAGCACCGGCCCTGACTGTCTCCCTTTACTTTGTAAAACACTGAACAAACTGTTGGCTCTATGGAAATCATGTATTAACCACTTACTGCCTGCCCACAGCAGATTTATTGTGAGCAGGCGGCAAAGCCAGGCACCGTGACATGCCCATTACAGATGGGCTGTATGTTCGAGTCGAACGTTAGTTGGACTCGAACATTCGCCATTCATGCGTTAGCCCGCCATGCCCCACAATGTACTGCACCATGACAGTTTATGGTGATTGGCCAAAGCAATGTGGTAAGGGGCAATGCTTCCGCCTGTCACAGCCCATGATGACGTCACACGGGGCCATGGATGGCCGCCCCTTGTGACGTCATCACACTGTTTGACATCTGTGCCAGGATGACAGTTCTTAAACGGCGGGAGCCAGCGTCAAGAGCAAAGTTTTTTTTGGGGGGTTTTTGGGTTGGTGGTGCCGGGCATCATGGTGGATGTTGGATCTACTTTGGAGGACATTTTTAAAATTTTAGTTTTTAATAAAGGACTGGTCAAAAACTGTCTCCTGTCATTTTTACACTACAATTTTTTTCGTGAATGGGTAGCGGTACCATGTACCCCATACTCATTTATATTGGGAGGGGGCCAGTACTTGGGGGGCCCCTTGTTAATGGGAGCTTCCAGATTCCGATAAGTCCCCCGCCTGCAAACCCCCACAACCAACAGCCACGGTTGTGGCAAAGAGGTCCTTGTCTCCATCAACATAGGGGCAAGGTGCTTTAGGGGGGGAGCCCCTCTGTCCCAAAACACCCCCCATGTTGAGGGCATGTGGCCTGGCCTGGTTCAGGAGCACCGCCTCCCCTTTCCTGACCTGCTGCATGCTCAGATAAGGGTCTGGTATGGATTTTGGCGTGGGGGTTCCCCTCAAAAAGAGCTTGGTATGGATGGGGGGGAATCACACACTTTTTTTTTTTCTTTTTAATTGCTGGGCAGTGCCGGCAATTCTTTTTACATTCAGCTGTCAGTGGGGAATCCCGCTGACAACTGAAACAATAAAGAATGTTTTTAGTAGTTGTGCGGTATCTGCATACTCAGATGTGGTAAGATACCACTTAGTGAATTGTCCCCTCTGTTTGAAGTTTGTGGTCAGACTTTCGTTATGTTTGAATGTTCGACCGCGAACCAAACAGGGGGATGTTCGACCCATCACTAATGCCCATGCGTTGCGGTAAACTTCCTGGTTTTTGGACAAGCATTTTGACTGAAACCTGCTGATTGACTGTGGCCAATCACAGCACAAGGCTCTATGTTTACAAACACACAAAACTCTGCGTACACAGAAGAGCGGTCAGGCTGTTTCTTCTCACTGAAATGCAGGAAGAAAAAGGCAGCCAGATCTGTGTGTAAAAGCCACACATATTACACACATTACATTTGTTAAACATACAGTTAACCCCTTTAATGCCTCTTGATGTTAACCCTTTCCCAGGCAGTTTCATTAGTGCAGCATACAGTGTACAGTATTATTACTGATTACTGTATTAGTGTCACTAGCCATGTCAGTGTCAGTTGGTCAGCTAGTGTCCTTCCCAGCCAGGGTCAGTTAGCGCCAGATTGCCCTCCACACTATCACACTACTCCCACTATATGTTGCTGATCATGCAGATCAGTATTGTGATCGCGTTTGAAACTATACTAGTGTCCCCAATAGTATAGTGTCTCCAAAAATGCAGTTTGGTTTTCATAAAAAACATGTAGCATAATACATTTTGGCCTAAATTTGTGAAGACGTTTGATTTTATTGCATATGTTTTATAACTTTTTTCGTTTATATAATAACATTTTGGTATTTTTTTTCTTTGTTATAATAAAAAAAAAACGGTGTTTAAACTCCACCAAAAGAAAGCTCTATTTGTGTAAAAAAAAAAAAAATTCAGAATTTCATTTGTGTACAGTGTTGCATGACAGGGCAATTGCGTCAAGAAAATTAAATAGTATGGTGTTGCATGACTGAGAAATTGCCAGTTAAGGTAGCATGGGCAGCACAGTGGCTAAATGGTTAGCACTTTTGTCTGGCAGTGCTTGGGTTCCTGGTTCGAATCCCAACCCCGGCACCACCTGCCTGGAGTTTGCATGTTCTTCCTGTGACTGTGTGGGTTTCCTCCGGGTACTCCGGTTTTCTCCCACACTCCAAAGACATGCTGGTAGGTTAATTGGCTCCTGTCAAAATTGTCTCTAGTATGTGTATGTATGAATGTAAGTTAGGGACCTTAGATTGTACACCCCTTGGGGGTTAGGGACTGATGTGAATGTACAATATATATATGTAAAGTGCTGTGTAAATTGATGGTGCTATAGAAGTACCTGAAATAAATAAATATTAAATAGTAGTGAACAGCACAAAAGTGGTCATGAAAGGGGGTAAAACCTTCCAGAGCTCAAGGCTGGTTAAAATAATAATAATAATGGGCAGCATAGTGGCTAAGTGGTTAGCACTTCTGCCTGGCAGTACTAGGGTCGCCATTTCGAATTCCAACCACAACACCACCTGCATGGACTTTGCATGTTCTCCCTGTGCCTGCGTCGATTTCCTCCAAAGACATGCTGGTAGGTTAATTGGCTCCCTGTCTAAATTGTCCCTAGTATGTGTATGTATGAATGTGAGTTAGGGACCTTAGATTGTACGCCCCTTGAGGGTTAGGGACTGATGTGAATGTACAATATATATGTAAAGTGCTGCGTAAATTGATGGTGCTATATAAGTACCTGAAATAAATAAATTAATAATAATAACAGGCTTGTGAACAGAACCATTTATATCACAAAGGCACAATATATAACAAATGCAGACAACCTCTAATGGGATGTCAGATCACAGCAGCAAAAAAGGGAATTTGGAGATTTTGGAAGAGGTTGAGAGTAATGGACACGGGCAGCACAGTGGCTAAATGGTTAGCACTTCCACCTGGCAGTACTAGGGTCGTTGGTTCCAATCCCAACCACAGCGCCACCTGCCTGGAGTTTGCATGTTCTCCCTGTGCCTGCGTGGGTTTCCTCCTGTTACTCTGGTTTCCTCCCACACTCCAAAGACATGCTGGTAGGTTCACTGGTTCCTGTCTAAATTGTTCCTAGCAGGGGTGGACTGACAACTCATGGGGCCCCTGGGCAATAGGGGATCATGGGGCCCCTGTGTCCTTGCCCAAACTCAAAAAAGCCTATGAAAAAGGTACCAGGGGCATCTCATGGGGCCCCCTACTGACCCCGGGGCCCTCGGGCAGTGCCCAAGTTTCCAAATGGTCAGTCCACCCCTGGTTCCTAGTATGTGTACGTATGCAGGGGCGGACTGACCATTTGGAAATGCCGGCACTGCCCGAGGGCCCGGGGTCAGTAGGGGGCCCCATGAGATGCCCCTGGTACCTTTTTCATAGGCTTTTTTGAGTTTGGGCAAGGACACAGGGGCCCCATGATCCCCTATTGCCCGGGGGCCCCATGAGTTGTCAGTCCGCCCCTGTACGTATGAATTTGAGTTAGGGACCTTAGATTGTACGTCCCTTGAGGGTCAGAGACTGATGTGAATGTACAATATATATGTAAAGCGCTGTGTAAATTGACGGCGTTATATAAGTACCTGAAATAAATAAATATAAATAATTTTTTTTTGTTTACATAGTCCATTTTGTTCTGCTAATGAAAAACGTAAATAGAAAATCTCCATTTACACAACAACCAACAGTTGATGCAGAAGAAGACAGACGATTTTAGAATACATACCTGAATAGAATAGAATAGAAAAGAATACTATAGTTTAGTGTCACATTAAGCACACCCTATACTAAAATGCCAAGTCAAACTTCCAGAAATACAGTACCTGCCAACTCTGAGACACTTCCAGGTGTCCACCCATAGAGGGCGCTCCTGCTTATCCTTTCGGACACACAGTGGCACTGAACAAAGCCTGTGCATTGCTAAGTCTGTCCTTTTTCTTCCCTGCAATCCTCATTAGAATCCTGTTCCTCAATCTCCATTCCCATTTCCACATTTTCATTTCTAACCCCTCCACATCTCCTGATCAATGGATACACACACACACACATCAGACTCTGAGCTCACATACACTGCTGCTGGACCTCTCTGCTAACAAGTGAATGCCTATTTTTGAACCTGCTCTCCCAAGAAAATAAAGGAACCTGGGATTTTTTCTATTTTGTATTTTGGCTTTTTTTGGCTTTTTCTTTTTTTTTCTTTTTTTTTTTTTAATGCTCAACATGGAACTAACTACATAGATGACCTGCCCCAAGGATTTAATTCTCTCCAGGATTTTGGGATATATTTAGCATCTTATGATTTTTTTTTGGATGGTTACTGTAGAGCCTGCAGCTTCCCTTCTTGAGCTTTTGAGTGAGTTGGATCTATTGGATTGTGCTGTATTGGGTTGCATTAACTTTGCCTGCTACTACGACAAGCTCCAGTCTAACCTAACACTGAGTTCTGCATGAAGGTGCCAGGCCTCAGGGTACCAGCCTTCAGAGGTGCATGTTGAAATATGGAGGGATACCTTGGATTGTACTCATTGCCAAAGCTGGGAATTGTCATGGTTTTGACATTGCTGGGATCACATCTATCACAAGCTGGTAAGTCACATCTTCTACTATCTGCTGTGTGGATACAGTAACCCTTGCATGCCTCCAAGGAGCTATCCCTTTTCATTTTGATATACTTTTTTTTTTCTTTTTTTTTTTTACTATGCTGTATTATAGCAGGCACTGGTACAGCATCACATTGGAAAGCATATAGATCTTAGCAAACCTAAACCTTGCACCTGCAGCAAGGACACAATGAATTATTTAAAGCTGGTCTCTCAAGGTTTCATGGGACTTGATGGATTATATATAGTAAATTATCACATGTTTGGAGGAAATTATGCATCCTCCCCCCATAGCCTCATCCCCAGGCTTCAGGCACTTTGTCACAGTTGGTAACTGCTCTAGTATGTAGATACATTGCTACAGCTGTGGATGGGTGTACCATATAGATGGACTTCCACAGCTGTGAATTGCTGAAGCAAATATGGACACGGCTGCAGCTGCGAATCGCTGTAGCATATAGTGAGTCCAACTATAGCTTTACATTGCTGTAGCTTACAGTGAGTCCACCTATAGCTTTACATTGCTGTAGCATATAGTGAGTCCAACTATAGCTTTACATTGCTGTAGCTTACAGTGAGTCCACCTATAGCTTTACATTGCTGTAGCGTACAGTGAGTCCACCTATAGCTTTACATTGCTGTAGCTTACAGTGAGTCCACCTATAGCTTTACATTGCTGTAGCTTACAGTGAGTCCACCTATAGCTTTACATTGCTGTAGCTTACAGTGAGTCCGCCTATAGCTTTACATTGCTGTAGCTTATAGTGAGCCCAACTATAGCTTTACATTGCTGTAGCATATAGTGAGTCCAACTATAGCTTTCCATTGCTTTAGCGTATAGTGAGTCCACCTATAGCTTTACATTGCTGTAGTTTACAGTGAGTCCAGCTATAGCTTTACATTGCTGTAGCTTACAGTGCGTCCGCCTATAGCTTTACATTGCTGTAGCTTACAGTGAGTCCAGCTATAGCTTTACATTGCTGTAGCTTACAGTGAGTCCAGCTATAGCTTTACATTACTGTAGCTTGCAGTGAGTCCAGCTATAGCTTTACAATGCTGTAGCTTACAGTGAGTCCACCTATAGCTTTACATTGCTGTAGCTTACAGTGAGTCCACCTATAGCTTTACATTGCTGTAGCTTACAGTGAGTCCACCTATAGCTTTACATTGCTGTAGCTTATAGTGAGTCCAACTATAGCTTTACATTGCTGTAGCTTACAGTGAGTCCACCTATAGCTTTACATTGCTGTAGGTTACAGTGAGTCCACCTATAGCTTTACATTGCTGTAGCTTACAGTGAGTCCACCTATAGCTTTACATTGCTGTAGGTTACAGTGAGTCCACCTATAGCTTTACATTGCTGTAGCTTACAGTGAGTCCACCTATAGCTTTACATTGCTGTAGCTTATAGTGAGTCCAACTATAGCTTTACATTGCTGTAGCTTACTGTGAGTCCACCTATAGCTTTACATTGCTGTAGCTTATAGTGAGTTTAACTATAGCTTTACATTGCTGTAGCTTATAGTTACCCTATAGAGCTATAAGTTGCTGTAGCTTAGTTAGCCTGTAGAGCTTGAAATTGATAGAACATATTGTTACCCTATAGAGATATTAGTTGTAGCATATAGTTAGCCTATATTGCTGTAGAATATTGCTACCCTATAGAGCTGTACGTTGCTGTAGTATATAGTTACCCAATAAAGCTTTATATTGATGTAGCATATTGTTACCCTATACAGCTTTAAATTGCTATAGCTTTTAGTTACCCTATACAGATTTACATTGCTTTAGCATATAGCTTCCCAATAGACCTTCAAATTGCTATAGAGTATACTGTAGTTACCTTTTTACAGCTTTCTATCGCTTTTAGTTACCCTACACAGCTTTAAAATGCTGTAGCATATAGTTATATAGAGCTGAACATTGCTGTAGCATATAGTTACCTTGTAGAGCTGCAAATTGCTGTAGCTATAGTTACCCTATAGAGTTAACATTGCTGTAGATATAGTTACCTGTAGAGCTGCAAATTGCTGTAGCATATAGTTACCCTATAGAGCTGAACATTGCTGTAGCATATAGTTACCTTGTAGAGCTGCAAATTGCTGTAGCAAAGAGTTAGCCTATAAAGCTATATCTTACTGTAGCTTTTAGCTACCCTACACAGCTGTGAATTGCTGTAGCATTTAGCTACCCTGCAACTGCTAACATTGCTGTAGCATATAGTTAACCCTTTACAGCTGTGAATTGCTGTAGCATATAGTTAACCCTTTACAGATGCAAATTGCTGTAGCTATAGTTAATCCAACAACAGCTTTAAATGGCTGTAGCATATAGTTACCTTATGCAGCTGAGAATTGCTGTAGCTTTCAGTTACCCTGATACTGCCAAGAATAGCTGTAGCATATACTGTACTGGAGCCGTGGATCTCTGTAATATATAGACAGGCACCCTAATGCAGTTCTACATTGCTGTGATATATAGGTGCACTAATACAATTCTGAAATACTGTAATAGATAGGTACGATGCTACAGCTGTGAATTGCTGTAGGTGCTATTGCACACAGGTGTCCTATAACTTTGAATTGCTGTGATATATAAATGTCCTACTACAGCCGTTAATTGCTGTAATATACAGGAGCACTACTCGAGTTCTATATTGCTGTAAAACATATACAACCACTCTAATACTATGAAATGCTGTAATATACAGGTATACTCTAGTAGAGTTCTATATTTCTATACCATACAGGTACTCTTACTGCTATGAAGTGCTCTAATACATAGGTATCTTACTGCTATGAAATGCTCTAATACATAGGTATCTTACTACTATAAGAAATGCTCTAATTTACAGGCATACTATTAAAGTTCTATATTGTTTGACCATACACAGATACACTACAGTTCTATAATGGTATAACATATACTGACACCCTACTAGTACGACGGGCTGTAATATACAAGTACAATACTAGAGTTTCGTATTGCTATACCATATACAGGTACTATATGAAATTATGTCACATACAGGCATACTATTAGAGTTCTATATTGCTAGGCACTCTACTACTATACTAATTCTATAACGTACTCTACTACTATGAAATGCTGTGATGTGTACAGTAGGTACCCTATTATGAATTGCTTAAATTATTCAAATTCATAACATATACCGGCACCCTACTACTATGAATTGCTGTAATATGCAGGTGTAGGACTAGAATTCTATATTACTATAACCTATACATATACAGGTACTCTGTTACTGCTAAGAAATGCTGTAATATACAGGCACCCTTCTACTGCTAAGAATGCAAAGAAATACTGTAATATACAGGTACCATTCTTCTGCTAAGAAATACTGTAATAGACAGGTACCCTTCTACTGCTAAGAATGCTAAGAAATACTGTAACATACAGTAATACCCCTCTTCTACTAAAGAAATACTGTAATAGACAGGTACCCTTCTTCTGCTAAGAATGCAAAGAAATACTGTAATATACAGGTACCCTTCTTCTGCTAAGAATGCAAAGAAATACTGTAATATACAGGTACTTTTCTTCTGCTAAGAAATACTGTAAATAGAGACAGGCACCCTTCTACTGCTAAGAATGCAAAGAAATACTGTAACATACAGGTACCCTTCTACTGCTAAGAAATACTGTAATATACAGGTACATTACTATATATATATCTGTAGTAATATATAGTAGTTACACACACACATATATATATATATATATATATATATATATATATATATATATTAATAGATAGGTAGATAGATATAGCTGCTGCAGTAATATATATATATATATCTGTAGTACAAAAAAAAAAATATATATATATATATAATATATATATATAATATATATAAATAAATATATATATATATATATATATATATATATATGTGTGTGTAAAATATATATATATATATATATATATGTGTGTGTGTGTGTGCATGTGTGTAAAATATATATATATAATATACATAAAACTACTATGTATGTATGTGTGCATATATATGTATGTGTGTGTGTGTGTGTGTGTGTGTGTGTGTGTGTGTGTGTATATATATATATATATATAATCTCACAGGTACCCTTCTACAGCTGTGAATTATTGTAACAGATTGGTCCACTGCTATGCACTGAAGACTTTTGTACAATATAGACAGTTGCCACAGCTGTGATTTGCTGTGCAATGCAGGTACACGGTCACAGTGGTGACTTACTGTAGAAGATAGGTACATGTGCTTCTTGAAAAAGATCAGTGATGATATACAGTCCATTCATCCATGGCAACCAATGGCATTTTAGCTGGATGCCAGATAACTGCCATTTCTCAACAGTAACTGCATTTGCACTTCATCCTTGTCTGCAATGCTTTATATATTAAGCCTTTGAATATAAATGGCAGGATTTACTATTGGGAGTGTGGGGTCTCCATAGATCCCTATTGTAAGGAAGATCCTGCTTCTCTTGAAGTTTCAGGATGTGTTTGATAGCTTGTGCTAGTAGAAGGGTGAGTGAGGGTTTAATGTCTTTCTGCTGTAGACGTGCTGTGCAATGGTAATGAGTTTTCTGCAAAGGGATGCACAGACTGAGCCTATATGCTTTCCATCAAGGATGGCCCTCCAAGCTGTAATGGGACTAGAAGTCACAGCATGCTCAGGTCTAAAGCTGCACTGCAACTGATGAATCACAATATCTCCGTATAGTGCTTTCATTGCTGACAATGGGTGGCTTTCAGTGTCTATAAGTGTAGCAGCAATGTGTCCATCCATCCCAGTTCCTAGCTGGGCATGGATACGAAGTGCCAGCACAATGATTTCATTCATAATCTCCATAGAGCGGATCAGACTTGGCATTGCTGCAGAAGGTGACAACCAAAAACGTTATTACCAGAAAGGAATATAGACGTGCTGATGTGGAATCTGGTGAACTAAAAGTGCCAGCGCACCCTGCAGATCCCCATCAGCTGCAGTAGACCTGGTCCCTAGCTCTGCTCCAGTCCCCCCAATGCGTGGTGCTGAAGGGACAGCGCACCGAGCTCTATGACAGCCTATGCAGCCGACACCATGAATCCTGATGGAAAGGAGCCGCTTCTAACAAATGTCATCTAATATCCATTGACTTTATAAGAGGGGCTGCTTGACCATCTGAACTGAATGAAGTATTTGTGTTCCTGCAAGGCAAAGCAGCTGCATTTCATTCTTTGCACATTCATTCTCTGCCCCTTCCCCCCCCCCCCCAAGAAAAAGGGCAAAGGGAATGAGTATGAGGATCCTGTAGGAGGTGCACACAAGGAATCTATCTATAGGTAGCAGAATAACATTCAACTTTCTCTGCTTGGCAGCCTAGCACAGATGCATCTGTTTGGGAGCTTGTGCTTTCCAAGGCTGGAGATTGAATAATGCATTTCTAATTCTCTGGATGAAAGAAGTTTAGGAATGCCAGAACAGTTGTGTATTACTCAGAACTGTGGAGTTTTTTAACTTCTTTCAGTGTCACCTTATTTATTTATTACAGGCACTTGTATAGCGCCATCAATTTACACAGCACTTTACATATATATTGTACATTCGCATCAACCACTAACCCTCAAGGGGTGTACAATCTAAGGTCCCTAACCCTCAAGGGGTACAATCTAAGATCCCTAACCCTCAAGGGGTGTACAATCTAAGATCCCTAACCCTCAAGGGGCGTACAATCTAAGATCCCTAACCCTCAAGGGGTACCATCTAAGATAACAAGGGGCGTACCATCTAAGGTCCCTAACCCTCAAGGGGCGTACAATCTAAGGTCCCTAACCCTCAAGGGGCGTACAATCTAAGGTCCCTAACCCTCAAGGGGTGTACAATCTAAGGTCCCTAACCCTCAAGGGGTGTACAATCTAAGGTCCCTAACCCTCAAGGGGTGTACAATCTAAGGTCCCTAACACTCAAGGGGTGTACAATCTAAGGTCCCTAACCCTCAAGGGGTACAATCTAAGGTCCCTAACTCACATTCATACATACGCATACTAGGGACAATTTCGATAGGATTCAATTAACGTACCAGCATGTGTTTGGGAGGAAACCAGAGCATACAGAGGAAATCCGCGCAGGCACAGGGAGAACATGCAAACTCCAGGCAGGTGGTGCCGTGGTTGGGATTTGAACCAATGATCCTAGTACTGCCAGGTGGATGTGCTAACCATTTAACCACTGTGCTGCCCAAATTAAATAGTACAATATCAGCTCTTCTGCCAAGGCCAGCCAACACAGCAGATTATATAACGGTTTAGGTTACATACAGCAGCCTTCCTCACCCTGGGCTGCCTTGAGGGTTCTTCAGGGGTGCCTTGGCAAAATGTCTAAAAATTGCCCAAAACTTAGATACAATCCAGCAGTTGTAACAAGCCTGCCTTTTAATTACAACAGCCACAGGTTTTCATTGTGCACCATTACAACCTTCTAGCCGCCGGCATCCTGGCAACCAATGACATCATCAGTTGATAAGGAAATGTTGGTTGCCTGCACAGTATCCTAGTTTGCTCCTCCCCTGCCCCTTTCCATCAGTGCTGGGGTCATATTAGCTGAGTGATGGATAAAAACTGAGGGAGAGGAGAAACACTGGAATACTAGTCAGTACTGCCAGGTGGAAATGCTAACCATTTAACCACTGTGCTGCCCAAATTAAATAGTACAATATCAACTCTTCTGCCAAGGCCAGCCAACACAGCAGGTTTAGGTTACATACAGCGGCCTTCCTCACCCTGGGCTGCCTTGAGGTTTCTTCAGGGGTGCCTTGGCAAAATGTCTAAAAATTGCCCAAAACTTGTATATAAGCCAGCAGTGGAACAAGCCTGCCTTTTAGTTACAACAAAGCCCCAGGTTTTCATTGTGCATCATTACGACCTAGCTGCCGGCATCCTGGCAACCAATGACATCATCAGTTGATAAGGAGGATGTCAGCTGCCTGCACAGTATCCTAGATTGACCCTCCCCTGTCCCCTCCCCATCAGTGCTGGGGTCATATTAGCTCAGTGATGGATAAAAACTGAGGGAGAGGAGAAACACTGGAATACTAGTCAATACCAGTGTGCAAAAGTGTATTTGTTTTGGAAGAATAAATCACCTCTAATGTTGGGTGTCCTACATGTGTGGATGTTGCTGCATTATAGAAAGCTATTAGAATAGTTTTTCACATTTTAGAATGGGGTGCCCTTTTAAAATTATGGACAGTCTAGAGCAGGGATGTCAAACTGGTGGCCCTCCAGCTGTTGCAAAACTACAAGTCCCGTCATGCCTCTGCCTTTGGGAGTCATGCTTGTAACTGTCAATCTTGCAATGCCTCATGGGACTTGTAGTTTGGCAACAGCTGGAGGGTCGCCAGTTTGACACCTGTGGTCTAGAGCAGTGTTTTTCAACCTTTTTTGTGCAAAGGCACACTTTTTTCATGAAAAAAATCACGAGGCACACCACCATTAGAAAATGTTAAAAAAATTTACCTCTGTGCCTATATTGACTATATATAAAGTGATTCTCTTGAATAGGAATCAAACACAAAGAAATTTATTTTATAATTACTTTATTATGAAATAATGAAGTATTTTATAATTGGACCCGGGGGCCGGAACCAAGAGTAGATAAATGATGTGTATGTGTCATCCATAGTAAGTATAGTAATATTCCCCCATAGTAAGCATAGTAATTCATCCCCCATAGTAATTCATCCCCCATATAGTAATTCATCCCCCATAGTAATTAATCCCCCATATAGTAATTCATCCCCCCATAGTAATTCATCCCCCATATAGTAATTCATCCCCCATAGTAATTCATCCCCCATAGTAATTCATCCCCCATAGTAATTCATCCCCCATATAGTAATTCATCCCCCATAGTAATTAATCCCCCATAGTAATTCATCCCCCATATAGTAATTCATCCCCCATAGTAATTCATCCCCCCATATAGTAATTCATCCCCCATATAGTAAATAATCCCCCATAGTAATTCATCCCTCATATAGTAATTCATCCCCCCTATAGTAATTCACCCCCCATATAGTAATTCATCCCCATATAGTAATTCATCCCCCATAGTAATTCATCCCCCCTATAGTAATTCATCCCCCATAGTAATTCATCCCCCATATAGTAATTCATCCCCCATAGTAATTTATCCCCCATAGTAATTCATCCCCCATATTAATTCATCCCCCATATTAAGTCCCCAAGCCCCCCCTGTGTCAATTCACTTACCTTTGCTCCGCGCGTTCCTCTCGCCGTTCCGGTGTAGCATGAAAATCTGTCTCCTATGAGATCTGTCCCCCTCGAAGTATCTGCGCATATGCCAGTTTCAGGCATTAGCAGCTGATCGGCGATCTCCGGCACTGCGCAGATACGTCGAGGGGGACAGATCATCCTGACAGTATCACGCTCCGCGGGCCGGATTAAAAGGTCCGCCGGGCCGTATACGGCCCGCGGGCCGTAGTTTGCTCATTGCTGTTCTAATGATTGGTCTATTTGTGAGCCGAGGCCACATGTTACGGATGAAAGTGCAATTTTTCCCACGGCACACCAGACAATATCTCACGGCACACTAGTGTGCCGCGGCACAGTGGTTGAAAAACGCTGGTCTGGAGGCACCCCATTTTACAAAGGGGTGCCTCAAGACTGTCCATAATTTTAGAGGGTGCCTCAGGGGTGTCCATAATTTTAAAGGGTTCCTTGACCGAAAAAAGGTTGAGAAACACTAACATACAGTATAGGAGCATAAATACAATTGTTTGCAGCACTAATATAGATGAGATGGCAGCATGGAGGTTGGGGTGCTTCATGGAGCCTGCTTTCTTGAAGATTGCTTGATTTCTGTTGTATTCTTTTTCTTGACAAAATAAGAAAACCCGATAAAAATTATTGTAAGAAATGTGACTGATTGCTCCACTCTCCAGTTTTTTGGGGAAATTGGCCACCATGGCGTTTCATCTTTCTGTATTATCACTAATCCTCCATGGGCTAAGGCAGGGGTTTCCAAACTTTCTAAAGAAAGGGCAGTTTACTATCCTTCCGAGTTTATTTGGGGGAAAGACTGTGGCCAGTGGGACTAGACAATATAAAAGACTTAGAGGTCAGTGGGAGTAAAAAAATTACATAGTGCCTGCGGTCCATAGAAGGAGGAATAGTGTCCCATCATTGGTGTCAATGGGTGGAATAATGCCCCATCATTGGTGTCAGTGGGTGGAATATACCCCTATTGTTGGTGTCAGTGTAAGGAATGGTGCCTTATCATTGGTGTCAGTGTAAGGAATGATGCCTCATTGTTGGTGTCAGTGTAAGGAATGGTGCCTCATCGTTGGTGTCGGTGCAAGGAATGGTGCCTCATCGTAGCTGTCAGTGTAAGGAATGGTGCCTCATCGTTGGTGTCGGTGCAAGGAATAGTGTCCTACTGTGGGTGTCAGTAGGAGGAAAAGTGTCCCACTATTAGTGTCAGTGGGAAGTATAGTGCCTCACATCAGTGGGAGGAATAGTGACTCATTGTTGGTATTAGGAGGAGGAATAGTGCCCCATCACTGGTGTCAATGGGAGGAATAGTGCCCCATTGTTGGTGTCAGTGTAAGGAATGGTGCCTTATCATTGGTGTCAGTGTAAGGAATGATACCGTATTGTTGGTGTCAGTGTAAGGAATAGTGTCCTACTGTGGGTGTCAATAGGAGGAAAAGTGTCCCACTGTTGGTGTCATTGGGAAGTATAGTGACTCATCAGTGGGAGGAATAGTGATTCATTGTTGTTATTAGGAGGAGGAATAGTGTCCCATTACTGGTGTCAAATGGAGGAATAGTGCCTCATTGTTGGTGTCAGTGTAAGGAATGGTGCCTTATCATTGGTGTCAGTGTAAATAAGGACACCTTATTGTTGGTGTCAGTGTAAGGAATGGTACCTCATGATTGGTGACAGTGCAAGGAATAGTGCCCCACTGTTGGTGTCAGTAGGAGGAAAAGTGCCCCACTGTTGGTGTCAGTGGGAAGTATAGTGCCTCATCAGTGGGAGGAATAGTGATTCATTGTTGTTATTAGGAGGAGGAATAGTGTCCCATTACTGGTGTCAAATGGAGGAATAGTGCCTCATTGTTGGTATCAGTGGGAAGAATTTTGCCCCATTATTGGTGTCAGTAGGAGAAATAGTGCTCATCTGTTGGTGTAAGTGTAAGGAATGATGCCCCATCATTGGTGTCAGTGTAAGGAATGGTACCTCATGGTTGGTGACAGTGGAAGGATAGTGCCCCACTGTTGGTGTCAGTAGAAGGAAAATTGCACCACTGTTGGTGTCATTGGGAAGTATAGTGCCTTGCATCAGTGGAAGAAGCAGTGCCCCAACAGCCTGATAAAGGCAAACAAATGGCAAATTCCAGCCTGTGGGCCACAGTTTGAAGATCAATGGACTAAGGTTAAACCATGTTTTGGTCTTCAATCAGAGCAAGTACATTTAGAAATTCTTCACGCTGTTTCCTTAGCAGCCAATCAGGTCTTAGCTCATGTGTTATAACCTCTCTGGGAATCTGAGAATCTGGCTGAAATGGACAATAGCTAAGCTTTTGTTATCCAAATGTTCATAACTACTTGACAATAACATCCGAATTCTCATTTCTGTTCAAGTTAGAATAGGAAAAGTATAGTTTTGTAGTTACAGGCAACAAACAGAATGAGGGTAATTCAATAAAGCTGCCCTCTCTCCACTTTTCTGGTGTTAATCCCTCTTGGTATGCCCTGATGAAGTCACGTGACATCGTGATGTAACATGCGGGCTCATGGTGCAGAACTTCTGCTGTGCTGACTCAACTTCCGGGGCAGACGCCATCTTGGAACTCCTATTGAGGTCAATGTATTAGTACACCCACAGCATGTGGATAGGTACTAAAAGCTTATAATTTCAAGTTAAATGTGAGTGGAATTTGATACATTTTTATCCATTTTGAGTCATTAAACGTTAATACATTATGGAGCACTTCGCATTCTCTTTCTGGGCGAATGTAGAGCTATCACTTCTAGGACCACTGAGAGGAGGCTGTATGCGGGAACTTGGCCATCAGAGAGGGAACTGACACGGTGGTGGACCTGACATCCGTTGGAGGGAGTCTGCATTCCAGACCAGTGGTATTTGATTGTCTAAGGCATTTTAACCCTGCAGGGTCACCGAATGGAGGTGAGGGGCCATTGCACCTAGAGTGGGATTCATAGTATCCTGTTGCACAGTTTGATGATCACAGGACTACAGTACACATCCACCATTTGGATGGTTCTGGACACTTTTTTAGATTGGACATGTATTTATTTATTTCACTTTTTAGGACACAATATATTTTTTTGTAGTTTTTTTGGTGTTTGTTTATGTTGGTGGTGGGTGGACTATCCACTGTTGATTTATGTTTGTGGATATATACGGAAAGTGTGAAGCACTGTTTGAAGTCACTTATTTTCACGCTTATACAGAACCCCCATTTGGGGTTACGAATCAAGTCAGTATCTATAGGCATTTAGCCTATTTTTTGGTGTTCACTTATCCCCAGTAGGGGGTCACTATCGTTTATTTAAGTGATTGTTAATGATTTACAGGCAGTGAGCCTGATTTTCTCTTTCTTTCACAATTACCACCATTTGTGGTTTCACGGATCCACTGTATTTATCCCATAGTAGGATCACTGGCATTGTTTAGATTCACAAATCATTTTGAGCATATACATGCGTTTACCTTTTTGATCCCCCTTTTCCTTTTTTTTTTTCTCATGTTTACCACAAGGAGTGGTTTCACTGATTCACTTTGATTTTTATCCCCTAGTGGGATCACTATTATTCCTTTTAACCTGCTTATCCAGGGCATGTAAAGTGTACATGCGTTTATGTCACTTTTTATTTATTCACTGGTGTTGCAGTTCAGGAGTTCATTCGGCATCACAGCATTCAATATGTGTGTATCATTATTGTGTATGTATGTGTGGAATATTTTGTTTATGTACTCACTTAGTAGAGGTGGTGTAGAGGTATATTTTGGGGGTATATGTCATATTTTGATTTAATTGATTTATAAGGGGATATTGTTTACCCATTCACTGAATATCACGTATTTGGGGTTCACATACAGTTTATTAGCGCAGCACCCAGGGGCGGACTGACAATTTGGAAACTTGGGCACTGCCCGATGGCCAGGGGTCAGTAGGGGGCCCCATGAGATGCCCCTGGTACCTTTTTCATAGGCTTTTTTGGGTTTGGGCAAGGACACAGGGGCCCCATGATCCCCTATTGCCCGGGGGCCCCATGAGTTGTCAGTCCGCCCCTGGCAGCACCACAATTTACAATTTGGGTTGACCATTTTTATTGGTATATGGTTAGGTGTTAGCAGCTTTAGCCACAGGTTCACCTAAGCGCAGGAGGACTTTGATTACAGTTCCACAATTCACCGCTTTGACATTGTGGAGCAATGCCTGCACAAAATTCACAATAAAATGCTGTCAGTTTGTATCTTATGAAAGTGGCACTAATTAAGACCGACTCTCTTTTGGTGTACAGAGAGGGACCCTGGCACAGACTGATT